CCAAGGAGACCGAGGCCGCCAAGGCTGAAGCTGCCGAGTGGCAGGAGAAGCACTCTTCCCTGCAAAGCACACATGACTCCCTAGCCTCGGAGCATGAATCCGCCAAGCAGCAGATGGCCGAGTGGGAGGAGAAGTACAACGCCCTGCAGGCCGCCCGCGACGAGCTCGCGCAGAAGGCTGAGGAGGCTGAGGCCGCCAAGCAGCAGGCGGCGGAGTGGCAGGAGAAGCACGACAAGCTGCAGAGCACACACGAGAACCACGTCAAGGTGTCCAAGGACGTCAGGAATAGACTCGCTGCGGACCACGAGGCGGCGCTGGAGCAGGAGCGCGCCGCGAAGTCGAGTCTCGAGCAGGAGATCGCCTCCGCCCGGGAGGCACAGGAATCGCTGAAGGCGGAAAGCGAGAAGGCCAGCCAGGAAGCCAACGAATTGCGCGAGAAGCTGCAGACTCTGGAAGAGGAGAGCAGCAAGTCCAACGAGGCAGCACAAGAAGCCAGTGAACTGCGGGAGAAGCTGAACTCGGCGGAGGAGGAGGCCAACAAGGCGCGGAGCGAGCTCGAGGAGCAGTCGAGCGAGCTCTCTCGCCTCCGTGAGCAGAGCGAAGAGGCGCAGAGCCAGGCCACCAAGGCCGACGAGGAGCTGAAGGCAGCGCAGACGGTAAGCAGAATTCCCCGTGGAGCGAGAAGTACGATGGAGTGACTGACATGTACGCAGGAGAAGGAGAACCTCAGCTCGCAGGTGTCGGAGCTGGAGATGGCACAGAAGAAGGACCAGGCATCGATATCCGACTTGCAGGCCAGCCTGGAGCGGCTGGAGAATGAGAAGAAGGCTCTTGAGGAGGACCTTCAGCAGCAGAAGGAGAAGGCAACGGCGTCAATCAACGGCAAGCCGGAAGCCGAGGCAGAGTCCAACCATGCGCCGGCGCCGGCGGCTCAGGTAGAGGCAGCGGCATGAAGAAAGACCGTACCCTACGGGCTGATGGTGAATGGCAAGCGGGTTCTGAGAAACGAACGATGACTTGACGTCCATGTACATATTGTACCGTGTTTAATCTAATGTCATATACCCCTCTGAAGTTGAGCCGCATTTGCACTAATACCTAGTTCTCGACCCCCACCGCAGCCTTAGAGTTTTCAAGTGTTCGAGGTTAAGTAGCTAGTTACACCTTACCTACCTATCGACTCGAGCTTGTCGGCTGCGTAGCTTAGTAGGCGGTGGATGGGCTACCTTGCCATACTGCGAGCGTAATATAGCACCACCTCCGAGGGACTTCTGACTGAGGTTAGGTGTCCATTCTCTGGAAAAGGGGGTGGTGATGGGGAATACGAGCATCTTTTCGTATTCACCCTGTCAAGTCCGTCCAGGACCCAGAGCTCTGCCAATGGCTGATTGGGGTGATGGATGTGATCCTTAGGTGCATAGATTTCAGTTACGAGGACAAGACCCTGAATCTGGACCGGAATTATGCAAGTGGGCGAGCATACCCCGCCGGACTAGCATTGCGCCGGGGGCCGGGGCGGGCCTGGAAGGACTGGACGGGCGGGACCTCCCTCCAGAGACCCGTGGATGGGCGTGGACAGAGCCAATAAGGCTCAGTGCCCTGGGGGGCTTGTTGGAGGAGGACAGATCGAGTCACGGGTAGGTACTTACAGTATAACTTTGGGCGGTGGGCTGTCTCTGTTGGCCAAGGGAATGGCCTCTCGCCTTCGAAGCTGCATCGTGTTCTCTCCGCTTGTGTTGCAGCCACGGTCACTGTCATTCCCTCGGACTTCCTGTGCCTGGCTCGTCAAGATGGCCTCCACCTCCGCTCCCTCGTCCACCACGCGACAGCCGCCGTGGACGCCACCGCAGCGCTCGCCCGACGTGCGCCTCCCGCCGCTCAAGGTCTACAACAGCTTGACGCGCTCCAAGGACGACTTCGTGCCCGCCCACGACAAGAAGGTCTCGTGGTACACCTGCGGTCCGACCGTCTACGACGACGCCCACCTGGGCCACGCCCGCAACTATGTCTCCATCGACATCTTGCGCCGCATCATGCGCGACTACTTCGGCTTCGACGTCAACTTCGTCATGAACATTACCGACGTCGACGACAAGATCATCTTGCGTGGCCGCCAGCAGCACTTCCTCGCCCAATTCAAGCAGCAGCACCCGCCCGCCCCCGATGCGACTGCCGATGAGCCCGTCCTGGCCACCGCCCGCGCCGCCTTCGCTTACTACATCCAGAAGAACCTCCCTCTGCTCCCTAAAGACACCGCCCCAGACCAGCTCAGTACCGAGGTCGACAAGGTCTACAAGAGGGTCCTCGACGGCCTGGCCTTGAGTGACGCTCCCGACGCTGTGCCGGGCGACGACGAGGCCAAGCTCCAGAACCACCTCAAGACCGCCGCCGCCGCCGCCGATGCCCTGCGTTCCCCAGGCAAACTCTCCCACTTCTATACCCGCACCGATGACCTCCTCCTGCCCTACCTCGATTTCTTGCACGGCACCAGCATCGATGCCAACGACCATGCCATCTTCACCAAACTGACAAGGGACTTCGAGACCCGCTTCCTCGAAGATATGCAGAACTTGAACGTGCTGGGCGCCGACAAGATCACCCGCGTCACCGAGTACATGCCCGAGATCATCAGATTTGTCGAGAAGATAGTGGCCAATGGCTTCGCCTACGCCACCTCCGACGGCTCTGTCTACTTCGATATCGAGGCCTTCGAGAAGGCCGGTCATAGCTATGCCCGTCTGGAACCCTGGAACCGGAACAACCAAGCCTTGCAGGCCGACGGTGAGGGTTCACTGTCCAAGACCACGCTCAAACGAGGCGAATCCCATTTTGCCCTGTGAGTCTGGCCTGCCTTGTTTGTGCAATGCCTTTTCCCCAGCATGTAACTGACAGTCCGCAGGTGGAAAGCCAGCAAGCCAGGTGAGCCATCTTGGCCCAGCCCCTGGGGCCCCGGCCGCCCAGGCTGGCACATCGAGTGCTCCGCCATGGCTTCCGAGGTCCTTGGCAAGGTCATCGATGTTCACTCGGGTGGTGGCGATCTTCGGTTTCCCCATCACGACAATGAACTGGCTCAGTCGGAAGCCTACTGGACCGCTGGTGGCAATCCTGTGCAGTGGACAAACTACTTCCTGCACACCGGCCACCTCAGGTAAGCTGCCTAGCCTCTCGTGCTTGATCTCAACCTGCTGACTATGGCTACAGTATTCGGGGTCTGAAGGTTGGTTGCCATCCGCTGCCCTTTCCGTTCCCCCTCTTGCATGCTAACTTGTGCCCAGATGAGCAAAAGCCTAAAGAACTTCACCACCATTCGGAGTGCTATACAGACGGGAGCATGGGATCCGCGATCACTTCGGATCTGCTTCCTGCTAGGCTCGTGGCAAGACGGGATTGAGATCACCGAGGACATCCTGAAAGCCACGACTTCCTGGGAGAGCAAGCTCAACAACTTCTTCTTAAAGAGCGTTCAGGCGGCGCGGGATCTGGCGGCCAGCGATAAAGCAGATGGAGCCGAGGAACCATCTGCTGTCGACAAAACCCTGCTCGATGCGCTGGAGAAAGCCAAGACAGACCTGGATGCTGCCCTTTGCGATTCTTTCAATACCCCCGCCGCGATGCGAGTGATATCGGAACTTGTCAGCGAGTACAACCTGGCCCAACGTGTCAGCGACCAAACCCTCGTATCCATAGCCCAGTGGATAACGCGTATTGTAACGATATTTGGCCTGGACTCAACCGCGGACTTGGACGACGCGAAGCGAGTTGCCTGGTCCGGCATCGAGATACCTGCGGCGGCTCAGCCGTACGTATACCCAGCATCCCAGGTTCGCGACAAGATCCGAACCTTGGCCCGCTCGAGCCCCCCGGATTACGCATCCATCGGAAGCCTAGCAAGCGAGACCAAGTCGACTTTGGCACAGCAGACGGGCAAGGGAGATGATGTCGCCGCCAAGCCGTACCGGGAGGTCGCAGAACAATTCCTTGACGAGACGTCACAATATGCTAAGGAGGAAAAGCCAGCTAAGGAACTTTTTGCCCTCTGCGATCAATTACGTGATGTGCACTTGTGGAATCTGGGCATTTACCTCGAGGACTGGGATCCGCCACTGCCGGCGACGGTGCGACCGATCGATCGATCTTTGCGCGAAGCTCGAGCTGCGGAAGCAAAGAAAGAGGAAGCCAAGCGGCAAAGAGTTGCGGCGGAGGCGGCGAAACAGCGAGCTCTAGACGAGAAGGCGATGGTGAACCCTCTGGAGATGTTCCGCACCAGCGAATTCAGCGAGTGGGATAAAGACGGTGTCCCCTTGCGGGAAGCTTCTGGCGAGGAGCTCACGAAGAGCAAGCGGAAGAAGCTCCTGAAGCAGTGGGAACAGCAGAAAAAGCTCCATGAAGGGTGGAAATCCAAGCAGGCTGCTCAAACGGCGAAATAGAGAGGCGTTGGCATTGCATGTCATCATGCTGGATCTCCTACCTGTTCACCAAAAAAGACAATTCGATGGCAATAGTAGAATAGACTTACGGGCATGGTTGGCTAGCTGGTTGCCCATGCCCATCCACGCCAAAATTCCCTCACAATGCCATGCCATGGCTCCCGTTCCAAATCGTCTACTCCGTACAGTGCTCCCGTGCATACTGAGAGAGCTGCATCTGGGTGTTCATGGTCTTGAGCCCACTGTTCCTGTGATTCTGCCTCGCGATCCTCCACGATGGGATAGGCATTGCAATGGGAGGTACTGGGGGCCGACCGCACAGCCTCTTTTGGCCGGCCGTTGATGATCCCGGAGCCTAGCGGCGTGGTGACACGGCTGATCAGATGAGCATGTATGTACATGCAACTCTGACCGCACACCTGTCATTTTGAGGCCAACAAAAAAAAGCTCGAGGTTGCTCAAAAAGCTAGAAAGATAAATAGATCTACCACGACAGAAAGAACAAAAAGAAGCCAGCCAGCCAGTGTAACAACATAACCCGGCTGATTTTGGCATTTGAATAGACAAAAGATGTGACAGGTGTGGGATTCGAACCCACGCCTCTTGCGAGATGCGAATACACTCTTTGAAAGAGCAAGCTAAAGCTTGAGTCGCACGTGTTAGACCACTCCACCAACCTGCCTTGAGATGCTGGCTTATTAAAATAGCCTATATTGATATTACGTATCCAAGCCAATCACAATGAGGACCCACTCCACATCCCACCCAGAACTAGTACAGACCTAACAATGACAAGTTGCGGTCAAGTTGTGAGGTGTGCTGTGCATCGCTATATTTCTCGTCCCTTTAATTATGATAAGAAACTGTCGTTGGATGTGTTAGTGATGCGGTATTGAACCCAGTGAATCATGCCTCATGCTATCGTCATTACTGCAGGGTGGATGTCTGGTTGACAAAGTGTCTACAGACGTCACCGATGGCAGCAAAGAGAAACCCAGCAGCCGAGGCCAGTGTTACAACAACTTAAATCAAGGCCGTACGTCATTTGCAACTTCTTGCTATAAGCTTTCGTGCTTAGCTAATAGTCCGTGCAAAGGGTTGAAGTTTGGTCATTCGTTGGCTTGCGTCCATGTGCTTTGAGCAGCGAAGCAAGGAAAATGTTCTGATCTCAAGATTACGGAGGCAGCTTGAAATCTGACCCACAGAAGCTAGGACGTTGGCTCTAGTGGCAGGCGGCATCCAGACGTGCTCGCTGTTAACCTAAGCAGCACTATCACGGTGTCGATTGCCTTACATGCGTAGCCACGGTTTGGAAACCCGACAATACACATGTCAGAGGAGCCCTTTAGGGCTGTGCTGCTAGCCTAGGGATGCCTCTGTATATTAGCAGGTCTTTGGTAGCTGCGTTGTAGTAGAGACTTGGCTCCCTAGCCTCCAGTCTATTACACCACCTTTGCTTTCGGATAACTTTCGTACCCGTATCGTGACCCCTTTGTTTGTGCCTGGCCACCCTTTCCCACACAGCCTGCGCTATGACACCTTAATAAATATTAAGAAAAAAACCGTTATTATTTTTACCACTAAGTGGGACACGGAATCAGATGATATTTTACCTTGGCTAATATTAAAGTTAATAAAAGACGGGATGCTTGTTTTAACGAGGTTATATCTTAGTTAAACGATTTAACCTCGGTATTAGCTAAGTTAATAATTAAAAATAAAACTGCCTTAAATAATAAACCGAAAAAAACTTAACTCTAGAGTAATTTTGGCCTATTTTAAAGTTAATAAATTTTAATGATATAAGTATAAAAACTAAAACCTTTTAAGTGATATACTTGAGGGAAAACCTTTTTTAATAATTTATAAATCAAAAAAATGAACTCGGCTTTATTACTTATAGTATATTTCTTAATACCGGGGTAAATAATTACGTATTTATAAATACAAAGTTTGCAAAAGAAATTATAAAATACCTTTAAACGAAATAAATGACCGACTTTAAACTTTATAAATTAAAAGGTTTAATAAAAAAGTGATATAAGTGGTAAACGTCGTGTTAATTGCAAACTTATACCTTTATAAATCAAAGGGTTTAATAAAAAAGTGATATAAGTGGTAAACGTCGTGTTAATTGCAAACTTATACCTTTAATATCGTATTATTTTTAAGGTATATTAATTATTTTAAATATAAAGTACGATATAATATTAAGTATTAAGTTTTTTTAAACATTATAACGTTTACCCCGACGCGAAAAAAAAGGATTGTTATTTTTAGAAAACTAGCGATTAAAACTTACTTTATTAAAATAAATTAGTCTAAAACTTAACGATCTATGGTTAAAAGATGCTAAATATAAGTTAAATATTAACCGACGAGAAAAAACAATAAATAAAAAAAATAAGCGAACAGGGGCAAGGCGAATAAATAAACCTTATATACTTATTTAAACTTTAATTTTATAACTAAGAAACAAAAGGGTAAAAAGTATGTTATCCTCGATAACCGGTTAGCTAGCGGCATATACCCAGTTATTAACAGCCGATTAAATTACTGCTTTATATTAATAAATTAAAAAGTTTAAAGTATAATTAAAAATAAATAATAAAACGGAACTACGTCAATAACCGTTTTTATATAAATTTTATTACGACATAATAAAGCCCTTAGGCCTTGCGTATTATGTAAATAAATTAATAAGAAGATTTAGCCCGTGTTAATTAAGATAGTATGTAAAAATAATTTTTTAATATAAAGGTATAGCGCAAGGTAAAAGCCGAGGCTTTAATAATTAAACGCTTATTACAAGATAACCGGGGTATTTTTACGTAAAAATAAGGCATTACCTGGTATAAAAAATATATTATAATTATTATTTTAGCTAACGTTTTTATTATAAAAAGTAAACGAAATGTATAAGACATTAATAACATTAATTTATATGATTTTAGCGTTATTCTATAAAAGAAAAAAGGATTAAAATAAGACACACCCGAGTTATAAGCCTAAGCCGAAAAAAAAATCTTTCTCGCGTACCGGCATATAAAAGATGTTTTCAATAAGGTTAAATCTAGTTAAATGCCTTTTTATTGACTTATTAACCATAACGTTAAGCTAATAAACGGTAAATAACTGGAAAACTTACGGTATCAACCGTTATATAAGCCCTTTTTTTTAAAAAAAAAGGCATGTAAAAAATATATTATTTAAAACTTTGCCAAAAGATTTATTAAACCTAGCTAAGCTTTATAAGCGTTTGGTAAGCATGGGTAGGGGGGTCTCAAGTAAGTGTTAGTAACGTAGTAACATTTGGGTAAGATAGAGATAGGAGGTCTGGCTCGCCGAAAGCCGAACCAGGTGGCACGCACTTATAGGCGTGCCCCTCCTTATCTCCTTATCTTATCTAAGCTATCTCAGCACCTATCTACCTGGGGATGCCCCTTGGCCGGGCGCTCCCCGTGCTGCAGCGCAGCAGCGTTGCTAATTTTACTCGCATAAAAGCTTAATAGTTAAGGCATCCGGTTTTATGTAGATTATTAACGTTTAAATAATATAATAATTAAGGACTAGTACCTTTTACCTTTAATTAAAAAAATCATAACGTAAATTAATAAGGCTAAAACTTTTATTAAATTAAATATATAACAAGCATTTTACTAAATTAAAATAAAGTTTAAAAGTAAAAATATTATTATTTTCTATATTAAGTACAGAATATATAAGTTTAAGGTATTATGATTCAAATTAACTAAGAGTCCGGTAATATTTAATAATATATTAACGAATAATACACGCATATAGAGGGGGGCCTCTGAATGCGGACGCCTAAATAAAGAAAAGGTAATTAGATAAGGCGATAAAGGAGTAGCATTAGGCTACTAGCTATAGCGCCAGGCCATAATTTTCCCTTTTTCCTTTTTTTATCTCTAAATATTATCATTTTATTGCATACCTTATTATATTTGTATTAAATGGTAACATTTGCTACGTTTTATTTATAATAATTATAATAATTATTAATTTAAACAATTTTTTTGGACCGTATTATTTATTTTGCAAAGCAAGCCTAAGATCTATCTTTTTTAGACACCCGTTATAGTGGTTTGTATCCGTTTCGCGGAGACCGCTTACGATTATATTAATTAACTATTTTTAAAAGCTTTAATGTTTAACTCGTTTTATAAAACATTATGAGTTAAAAAAAACAAGGCGTTAAATCCACTTTATAAACGCTTTAATAAAACTATTTTAATATCGTTCTTAAATAAACCGCGTTTATTAGCATTAAGGCCGCCCTTACGTCGTTATAACTTTAAAAGGGCATATAATACGTTTTTTACACTTATACCACTATATCTAGGATTTGTTAAAGTTATTAACGTTGTAATAGCTTAACTAGTTATTTTTTTAAAAAGGCCTTAAAACCCTAGCTATTATAACACTATATTTTACTCGTTTCGCAATGTATAATGCACTAAAATAATTTTAATATAATGTTATAAGGAGTGGTTCGCCACCCCTCCGATTTAGTAACAAGGGTGGTTTATACACCCCGTACAACGCGCCTGTATCGGGTTTATACACACCCTTTAAAATTCTTAAGCTTAAAAAAAGCTTAAAATTTTATTAACCTATAAACCTAGCCTTATACTCAGGGTTGTAAATGTAGTTTGTAGTTTTAGTCTTTAGTTTTAGTACTACAGATTAATTAGTTTTAGTCAGGCCTTTAACTAACTACATGTAGTATTAGTCAGGCAACTGACTAACTACATGTAGTTTTAGTCAGGTAATTAACTAACTAAATGTAGTTTTAGTCATGTAAATAACGAACTACAAATTTTTATAGTTAGTTTAGTACTAACTATAAAACAGTTTAGTACTAACTACAAAAAACTAGAAACTATACTTTATTTTTACTTTTTATTTGCTTTATTTCTAATATATCTGTAATTTTAAAACTATAAAAAAATAGCTAATAAAACCGTTTTAATAAATTATGTTTATATTTATTATAAGAAAACTTATTTTTACAGGTAGTTTAATAAGGTTTAAAACTAATAGTAAAAATAACCTCTATAATTTTAAGCT